GGGGGGGCGGGCGGCGCTCGGAGCCGCCGCCGGGGGCGGCCGGGCCGGAGGGGCCGCGGAGCCCGGGGAGCGCGGGGAGCCGGGCGGCGGCCGGCAGGGCTGGCGGGGAGAGTCGCGGGGCTCGCCGCAGCAGCTGGCGGAGCGGTACGCGGACCTGGCGGCCAGCCACAGCGAGGCGCTGCGGCAGCGGGAGGAGCGCGAGTGGCACAACGCGCGGCTGCGCCAGGAGAACGTGCGGCTGCGGCTGGAGAACCGCCGCCTGCGCCGCGAGAACCGCTGCCTCTTCCGGCAGGCCCTGCTGGGGCCCGGCCCTGACAAGCCCCCTGTCGAGCCGGGCGAGGAGGCGGAGGCCCTGCGCGCCCAGCTGGCGCGGCTGCAGGAGAAGCACCGCCGGGCCCTGCGGCACCTGCGGCGCTGCCGGGCCGCCGGCGGGCAGGAGGCCTCGGGAGCCGAGGACGGCGAGTTGGATGAGCTGCTGTTGGAGGAGGACGAGCAGTCGCTGGATAAGAAGAGCCTGGTGCCGCCCGTGTAGGCGACTCCGGGGGAGGGGGCGGCGTTGCTGGGCCCTGCGAGCCCTCCCTGCCCGCTCGCCCTCTTGCCTGTGTCCCCCTGCCCGCCCGCCCTCAGTCGAAACAGGCTCTTCCCAGAGGAAGGATGGGGGAGGAGTTCGAGTTTCTTAGTCGTTTTTCCTGATGTATATCCAGGAAGCATTGACCGTGATCGAGGAGAACCGGGTTCATCTGGGAAACCGATGCTTGGAAGACGAGAAGAATGCTTCAAAGCAGCTGTTGTCATAGAGAAAAAAACCGCACTGAAGAGAACAGATGATCTCGTGTCATCTCACAGCCCTGAACTGTGCTTCCTTTTGGGACCAGATGTGGATCACCTTTCTTCTCTGAGTTAGTGACTGTCATGTAAGCTTCAAGAGCCATGGAGACTGACTAGTTCTTAGTAGTCTCTGTTAGGAAAAGGCATGAAGGAAGGTGGAAACTTTGTCACTACTCTGGTAGAAGTTGGTGATTATTTGAACTCTGAATTGCCTTGGACACTGGCTGCAAAACACTATTTGTATTTTTAATGATGGACTTTGTTCACTTTCACATGACTATTGATTTGAATTTCACATTTTCACACAAAACTGCAGCTGATAAATAAAATTATGACACACCAAATGACTGTTCTAAGTGTGATTTTTTAACAGGGAGTTATTTTGAAATTGTAGATGAAACACCCTTCAGACCATTGCAGTGTGCCTTCTCAAAACCCAAAGAATTGGTTATTATTTTTTAACCTTTCTTTTTTTAATCTTTTGACCTTAGCTATTTACTGTTTCATAGGAAGTTATTTTTCAGATCTGTGTTTCACAAGAAAATTTACTGTTTGAAAGAAACCATTTTAAAGAACTGGGACACAGATTGATTGTGTAATGTTCCCTCACTTTTTATTGTTTTTGTCATTTAAAGGCTTTCTGATGCCTTCAGGTTTGAGATTGGTTTCTTAAATCTCTAACAGCAGGTCTGTTTCATCTTATAGTCCAAACTAATGTTAAAAGATGAAATTTCATCATTTGAGAAAAGTAGTTATTTCTTCACATAATATCAGCATAAGCCTCCAATCATAAGATGGCTGTGGTGCTTGTTAAGTATGTGGATCTGCAGCCTCAAGTGCATTCTCAAAATGGAAAAACAATTTGACACAGAGCAATCAATACGTCCCTAATGAGAAAGTGTGGGTGGTGATGTTGTGTTTGGTTGTTTTATAAACAAATATTCTCATCAATATTTGCTAAACGCTCAAGAACTACAGTTCTTGAACAACCAGCAGGGTTGTTCTTACTTTATTAGCAGTTTCCAGTAAAATGTGAATACCCAAGAACAAAAATAATCTGTCAAAATAGGGTGACATAGGACTGTATGGAGATACTTAAAAGCATGATTGTGTCAGGCATCTTTTTCAAGAGTTACAAGTATTGAGCACGTGCAAAAGAGATCCTGGACTTTTCTGATAGCATATGCAAATTTTTTTAACTAAACTTCTGGGACACTTGCATTAAATGGAGTTTTTTTGTAAGAGTACTAAATATGCAGGTTTGTATAAAGGATTCCTTTTTTTTTCTATTATCTTGGCAAATTATAAAACAAATTTGCAGATTATAAGATACGGGGGGAAGCGACATGTTTCAGTAAGATTCAAATTATTGTAAAGAGTACAAAAAAAAAAAATTTAAGGTATTTCCTCACATTGCTGCTCCCAGATGAACTTCAGTAAATAATTCCTTGATTTAGTCAAGCTGTGAAAGTTTCATTTAACCAATTATCTGATCCGGTTGTTGTGTGTTTGTTTTTGAGAGCAAAATGTAAATTTAGGAGAAGTCTTTAGTACGGTGCAAAAAAGTAATACTTCACTACATTGTCCTCCCAAGTAATGGTTTGCAGATGGTGGCTTTTCTTCATGACACACTTCCATGATCCTTGGCTACAGGAAATGACAAATACTGAGACTTACAGGAAAGGTAAATATCCCTTGGGATATTTACGCATCAAGTCTAGGTTTGTCTATTTGACTAGCTCTAACAATTAGTAGTTTGATATCACAGGCGTGTTCAGCCAAACCCCCTTATGTTGATGTTTGGTAGAAAACAGAGTATCTTTGGAATTGCTTGATACATTACAGCATCTATACATCTGAAGTGGTACTACATCTGTAGTGGTACTACAGTTGTGTGAAGAGCTACTTTTGGTTAAGGTGTGTTTCATTTTCTATTGTTTTCTGTGTGTTTTGTGTCCAATCTTGAAGGTCCAGACTTCACTTCTTACTCCCAAATCTTGTCTTTAGTTCTGCTTATCACATTCTGGACCAAGGATAAGTCTTTGTCCTCTTTTTGTTCTGATTGTTGTGGTAGCGTCTCCCATGTTTCACTGTCTTGCTGTGTTGAACCTTTCTTCCTCTGGCCTACCTGAATGCTGCATCCCTGGATTTGAAAGAGAGTGCATTGCAGAACGAAATTCGTGCAATATACTAAACAAGCAGAACTCAGAAACATGCTGTCCTGTCCTGTTGTACTTTTTTTTTAAATAATTTTAGCTCTTTTCTTTAAAATAATTCCAGTTGTGTACTGATAATTTTCAAAACTCTGAATTTCAAAACTGTATTTTTTTTTTGTGCTTTTGATTCTAGGTTTCAAGCGTCTGTGTCTGCATAGTTATTTGGAAACAGGAAAACAAACTTTATTTTGCTGACACCAATTTCTGAATACGGGTGGATTATTTTCCTGTTTGAAAATAGTTTTGCTTTTACTGCATAGTATTTTGTTTTACACTGAATCAGAGTTCTGTATGGGAGTGATTTTGTAGAGTAGATGTGCTTGGCTAAAAACCAGGTAAGTTTTTTACTAGAGAATGGATTGAATTCAGGTTTGGATTTGATGTTTGCATGTTTTACTTTTTGTTCAGTTTTGTTTATTTTTTTCCTCACATAAATACATAGAAGTATAACAATATATAAAATATTTGGCAATAATACCTTCCTATTACTTTGTTAAATTACAGTATTTAAAATCTCAATACGTAGTCTCTTAACTTGCTGTGGCATATATAAATTTATAGAGGCAAACAGAAGCAAAAATCTTGTAGCCTTTCATTTCATTGCTAACAATGAAGTGAAAGGCTACAATAGAATTATTTTCTTTTTTTTTCATAAGGAAGTGTTCAGTTTTAGCTGCAGCCTTTTCCTTACCCTCTGTCTTGTGCCTCATGTTAGGAAATTATTATGAAATACATGTTAAAAATAAAGCTATATGTATGGAAGCCATATTAAAACTGTATTAAAATCTTCTGGGTCCATGTGTGAATTTGATGACAATTACTTGAAAACACATATATGTGAATGGAATGGTTCATTGTTGGTGCCATATTTCGTATAGATTGTATTGCTCTTTTGGGACCTAATTTAAGTTTCATTAAATATTGCACTCTGAAGGAGTCTTTTTCCGCTGTGCTCATCTTGAATGTGTTAGGACCTTGCAGTGCTTTAGCTGCTCACAGAGAATAATGAAATAAATGTCTTTGTATGATAACCTAATGCCACTCAGCTACATTCCTACCAAAGTAGTCATCTGTTACTCCTCCCTTTCCATCTATCTCATTGTGCTCAGTATCCCCTTTTGAGTTTGTTCAGTTCAGTAAACACCTTTCCAAGGTGCAGAGAAAGCCTCTGTTCCAGAGCTGCAAATGATTTAATGTAGTGGTTTAAAGATGAATTTTTAGTGATCACTAATCAACAAGGCCTTCCCTGTATATTTTTAAGGGATAACTGGTATCTGTATTATTATACTGGGAAATATAGATGTAGCTGCCCTGGGAACATTGTTCTATGGAATATCCAGATTGCATTTACTACCACATCCCTTCAGAAATAAAACCCTGTATCATTCAGAGAAAGATAGCAGCATCTGATTATAACGATCTTTTTAAAAAAGCTTGTAACTGGTATTATTTCGTGACTTTCAAGGCATTTTGTTTGCTCTTTGTTCTGTCAAAAGCATTCTTTGTACAGTCATAATGTAGTTGTAGCAGAAAAAAAGATAAAAGGCATTACATTTAGAGAGCATAAAGAGGCTGATTTAGATCTAGCTTTATAGGAGGGATTATGGTACAAAGCTGGGAAGATGGGAAAATTCGTTGGATAATCCAGAGAAAGAGAACATTTTTAGAAAATTATTGAGGAAAGATGTGACCATCAAATAACAGCTAATGGAATTATTATATCCATATATATTGATGGGTTTTTAATGAATAAAAGTATTGAATGCAAACTTTTGATAAAGTAAAAGATTAGCATTGAGAAAAAATTCAACTGTGTCATGCACTGGCATGTCTTTGAAGTGAGGGCAAGCTTTGGAGAGCTGCTCTGCAAACAATCCTTAGCCCCTGCTGAGATTATTAGCAGTGGTGCTCATTAAGGTTAATTTATTTCATGTGAAAATTTTTGAGGGCTAAAAGATTGAGCATCTCCCTTGTATAAATGCTACAGAATTTTCAATGACTTCAGGTGCTTCCCATAGTGTTTGCAATCTATCATCTAGACGAGTACAGCTCTTAACCACCCTGTGCGGTATTGGTTCAATAGCAGAGGAATGAGCGACCATCAGCGAGCAGCATCCAGGTGCTGTGCTTTGACAAACTCACTTCTAAGAACCTAACCCAACCTGTTGCTGATTAGTGTGTGAGAGCTCAGGGCATACCCAGAGGTGAGGCGGCTGCAAAGTGACGACTACCTACAGAAATACAGGGCTACTGAAATAACTGTGTTTGTGCATGAATTATAAATACTTAGCTGTATCTGTCTTTCCTCTCCTTTTTAAGTATGTGGTAGTGTTGTCTATTCTGTGGTCAGAACTACGTCTGTCTAGACGTCTGTTAGTTGTTTTTTCATGTTGAAGATGGTTAAATCATTCTGCTTAGCTACTAGAAAGCTTCAGTCCCAGCTGCAGCTTTTATGACCTATAATTTTGAATTTTGTATTGCTTTTCATTCAGAAATGATGGTTTGGGTTTTTTTGGCTTTTTTTTTTTTAATTTATCAAAAATCTTACCTTGCTTTTACACTTTGAGGGAGTTTTGCTGCACTGCACTAGTAAGAAAGAGATATTTCAGAATGTGTGCTGTGAAATTATTTGGAATCATAGCAGAGTACTTGACAAGTTTTCCCAAAGACTTAAAGTCCATAAGTAAGATGCAAAAAAAGCAGAAGTTTCCAAATAAATCCTATGAAAGATTTTGCTTTTTATTCTGGTTTTAGTTTGTTTTTTTTTTTTTAGTGATATAAGAACTATCACTTCAACAACAGTTAAATATTTTATTACTCTGCATGGTAAATATAAGTAACTGGATATAGTTAAGGGCTCTGGCACATAAAATCAAAAATAAGGCACTAAAAGCACCACTGATGCTCAGAAATCTAAATATAAGATCCTTACTTCACAAAGCAGTCCTGGAAGACTCTCTTCCTTTGTCAGAGAAAGGTTTTGCCTATTTTACTTTTTAAACCTCTGTTTATTGTGAAAGAAACAGCTACAAAAACAGTGTAAAAGTCAAATTTGACCCCGTATGTTTGAGTCGTGTATGGCAGTGCTGAAAAGACCACAAGCAATTGGAGGAGCGTGCATGAAAAGCTGC